TTCTAAGGTACATACACTTTTGGGATTGACTGTATAGCCAATACGTACTTAAAGTCGACCGATAGTTCACAATTTTCTGAAGCAGAGGTAACTTGGTTCTAGTTTTTAAAATCGTTTCTATGAGTTACTAGTCATAAAATTGATATTTTTAGATAGAATAAAGAGTACATTTGTTGCTAGAGGTAAAAATTAACAGGATTGATGAGGATTTGAGACAAGGTGATCTTTGTAACAATTTCAATTGACAGTACCCAGATTTTACACTGCCATCGTAATTTATTCTAGTTAGTAATATACTCCGGAGATAAATTAACATCTTGTATAACAAAACATATACAGCGTCATTGCATACTTGATCTATACTGCGATACTGCATAACTAGATCTGTATGCTCTGTTTATATAAAATGATATATTTATATTATTGTATCTATTCCGTTTCATTGTTCATCTAGAATGTAAATATCTTTTGTAAGTTCTAATAAGGAGTAACAATGCTTTTCCACTGAATAATTTTAAATATATTATATTATGGTTTGTAAATAGTCGTCTTAAAGTTATAACTCGCAGATGCAACGTAAAATAATTATATGTATACTTATAGTTATCGCCAGTTTTATCGAAAATTCAACAAATTCTGTATATGAAATAAACTTTTATTATAGAAGAAATTAATCTGGTATTACTATTAGCTTAAAAGTTTATCTTAACACGTGATCTGACGTGATCTTAAATCGTGGTCCCCACTATAGCTGCTAGGTTGATTGTCATGTGATCGCGACTCAGTCACATGGTACGCAGTGCGCGGTACGCATATCTTTATATTACTGTATTAATCAACTTCTTTCATTTTACAGCTTCCTTTACTTATCATAACGGACATTCACATTTCTAAAACATTTATGAAAATGATTTCATATTAATTAGCAACAATAGCGAAGTATTCTGTTCTTATTCTTAGCTTCGTGCGCATGCGTCGCGCGCAACACGCACCTTTTCCCGGCAACTCTGCCTGACTCTGCCTCTACCACCACCATCCCTGACCATTACTAACGTTACTAACCATCCCGTTATTTCTATACTCATACCATGGAACAAAGAAATTGACAAGTATTTTACTCCAGGTTAAAGTTTGGATTCATTTCCATTTGTAGAAATTACTCGTTAAAGATGAATAAAACAGAAAAGATTCAATTGTTGCGCAAGGCGATAGTGACTTACCCCAATTTTCCTAAGCCGGGGGTCACATTCAGGTATTTAATATGAATCATTAATTACCAAATTGATCTTCTGTATCACGATAATACATTGCCGTGTGTTTTTCTTACTTCCAGAGATATATTTGGAATATTTCGTGATATTACAGCATTGAGAGCAATGAAAGATTTGATAGTGGAACACATTTTGTTTTTGGAAGTCGACGTAGTCGTGGGCTTAGATTCAAGAGGTTTCCTAGTCGGGCCTCTTATTTGTATGGAACTAGGCAAACCGTTCTTGCCAATTAGGAAGAAGGGAAAACTTCCAGGAAAAGTTGTTGAACATGCTTTCTCACTGGAATACGGCGAAGTTAGCATATTAATTAGATAATTTTGCTTTTACTTTAAGCTTATCTCCTTTATATTATCTGACAAATTATTATATTCTTGCAGGCAACATTTGAACTACAAACAGACTTCATGAAGAAAGGAGCTCGAGTTTTAATCGTAGATGACCTGTTAGCGACTGGAGGTAAGACGAATATTAAAATGAAATGAATTTGTTCTTTATAGATCAAAGAGTAGAAAGATGACCATCTGAATAATATTTACAGGCTCTATGCGAGCAGCAGTAGACTTGGTACAATTGACTGGAAGTAAAGTAATTGAATGCTTAGCAATAATTGAATTAACTACATTGAAGGGCAGAGAAAAGCTCAATGTACCTGTTCATTCGGTAGTTCAATACGGAGATGAACCTTAGCCGAAGATAATGTAAGAAATTATTGTTAAATAGAACAGAAAACATACATATTATCATATGTATATCAGAATACAATACTGTTGACATTCTTATTTTATAAAATGCACGCATAAAAATATTTTCTTATTTGTAAACATATACACAAACTGTTATAATACTTACAAGATACAAAGAATGTATAATAATTTCCTAATAAATTTTTACAAATCAATTTATATGTTTTATTATATTTAAATAATATATAGTAACTTGTGTATAAAGGTTTGTATATTTCGTAGCAGAGTAGGGGAAGAGAAGATCTCGCTAGTGGACGACGTGGTTTTGAGAACCGGTACACCTTAAAGTAACGATGAAACGGACTTTCGAGGCCGTAACGAATTTAAAAGACTCTGCACTTCGTATTCCAACGTATCTACGTTTCGCTGCAACAATTTGGTTCTATCTTCGTTCAAATCAAGAACGTCCTCGTCACTCGCGTACAAATTTAAATGTGGAACATCGTGAAACCGATCAGACATGCAGACGCATTCAGGATCGACTTCATGCTCTCCTAATTCATCTTCCGTTGCTCTTAATTCCCAATTCGCATCCGAAAACTGTTCTTTGAAATACCTTTCAGCTTCGTCTAATCGTGTTCGATGAATCTGATCCATAAAAGCCCTCGCCTCGTGTTTCAGTCTGTTCATCTCTTCCACTTTCAAAGCTTCGCGATTATGTCTACGCATGATTCTTCTCTTCTCCTTCAACTTTTCCAGTTCGACGAGAGAGATTTCGTCGGTTAGAAATTTCGGAAAATCGTCTGACATAAACGGTGGATACGGTCCCGTAGAAGATAGCTCAATTATATCATTTCTAACGAAAATAAAAGAAAAATAAATTATGCTGACCAACATAGTAGTAAAGACAAATAGTCAGATTACCTGAGATACTGGCTAGGATGTACTCTTAAAGGTATATCACTATCAAGTTGTTGAGCTACTTTTAATAATTCTTGCGCTCCTACGTGACCTTGCTTGATGAAATACCTTTTGATACTCTCTTCTGAATACAACGTGGAAATGATAATTTCACGAGAACAAATACTATACGAAACCACGCACATCAGTAAAAGCAACGGTTTTTTAAGCGATATTAAATGATCCCATAGAATTAACCATTCGGAACTGGATAAGACCTCGCTCATCGCAGTCCTTAAAAGTGGCCAGGCATATTCACTCGATGTTATTCCTCGTTCGCAGAAAACGTTCAGTAAAGCTGGATCTGCTTGTAGCAGAATATTTTCTATTATACCCAATACATTCAATGGTGGCAATGGATGATATTCGAACCATTTCTGGCAATAATTCAGTAATATGCTCAGAATCAGCTCAAACCCAAGCAATTGGTCTTTCTGTAATAAAAATGTGACAGTAATTTTATTTTTCTTATATTATAATATTAATTATATTTTATTACCTGGAAGATTATGAGGAATGGAAAAATTAAATTCGGTAAAAATGTACATTGCACCAATAAAGGGCACCATTGTATTAAGCAATGAACTGTTGTTGTTAACAATATTCTTTTACTTCTACTTGCTAGTGGATAGTCTTTCAGAATATCGGAAGGATAACGGATGCTCGCACTTTTATTAGCCAGGGCATTGTAAGCAGTTTTATTGCCTGGCAACTGTAGAATAGTTGACCATATTAATACGCGGTATTTTTCAGGATATTCGCCAAACTCTTTCAAGATAAGCATCAATCGCTCCGAACGCAATTCTTCTTTTATGTATTTTCTGACGCAGTTTAAATGCTCACGAACTTTATGCGCAACCGGCCTACACGGTTCCGCTAATTTCTTTGTTGATTCACACTTCTTAGGAAACAGTAATTCAGTAACCAGTAATTTCAAGTTCCCCTCTTTTTCTATGTATGCTATGTATCTCCCTGACGGAGAAACTGCGATCTTTCTTATTGGTTTAATAGGCTGCAGCATATGAATGAAACAAGCTTGATTCAGATCAAAGAAATGAATATTACAATTTGATGAAACACACGCTAATACATTATTCGACCCTCCGTCCAAAGGTGATGGCACGAGGGAGAAACATTTTATTCCTACATAGTTATCTGGTAAAGTTAAAGTCTTTATCAAATTCCAGTTACAAGTGTTCAAAATAACGATTTTATTCTGAGCGCTAGCAATAATCATCGCTCTTCCATTTTGTGTGAAAACAAAGTCTTTTATATTACGTATACCATATATTTTTGGATCAATTTTGATATCGTTATCTAATTGATTGTAGTTCCATATTTGCATATTGTCATTGTAGTACAGGACTACTATGTGTCCTTGATTTGAGAAGCTTGCTTTCTTTATTATAACATTCTTTGTATTGACTTTCAACTGCTGCGCCTTACTACAGGAATCTAAGTACCATATTATTACTTCTCTGCAGGAGGAAGTCAGACAATATTTCTTATAAAAGGAAAAGTGTATCGGCGGATATTTATGTGCGATTAACAAGCAGAATTGTGAAACGTTCACGTTCACTCTCAGTATCTTTATATCAGCTGTAATAAGGCCGACTAATATTTCCAGTTTGTTTATAGGATTAAAGGTGAGAAAAGTGGCACGTCCGATGTTTCCCAATTTTTGATAGCAAGGACAATCATTCGACAGATCGATGAAATACAAATGTCCCGTTGTATCAATGGCAGCAACGTGCTCCTCGTTGCAGTCGAACGAAACGTGTGTAAAATTAACTCTCGTCAAACATTCCGCTCTCTTAGTTGTTTCTGGTACGAGTTCGAAGTTGTCGTCAACTCTCCTTAAATTCTCCCATCGCTTCTTATACATTATATTTTCAACTTTTCAGTCATCTAACTCAACTAAGTTCATCTCGATTTTGACGGTTTCGTCAGGTTATATTTACGCCGAGTAACGTCAAATACATACGTGACGGTGTTTACGTCCACGTTCACACGTGTTTTTCGAATATTCTTTTTCGCAAAAAAAGAAAAAGATGGAACATAGATACTACAATAAGAAGTATTAGAAGACGATTAATGATCGTTTAAATTAATATTACTGAGGACCGAATTCATAGACGATTCTTGAAAAGTTCTCAGTTCTCGCGCTTGGAAACACGGACGGATTGATCGGTTGATTAAGTCATATACAGCAATATAGAATTTATGTGTACAGGAGTATCTTAGGCTGATTCTATGCACAAAAAATAGGCTAAAACGAACGAGCGAAAAGTTCTCTGACGGACAGTTTCGTTTTCGAGAAAATTTGGCCCGAACTATAGACATATGTAGATTTTCTATTTTACCGCCGTTTGAAAACTTGAATAATATTCGTTTGTTATTTCTTATGTCAGTTGCCGGCACGTAGCCAGTAAAGTGGGATGGGATTTGGAATCTAGGCAGCGTGGATTCTGTGGTGTGTGGTTCTCTGTGACGAAATGACGGCGATTCAGTTCGTTCCAATTAAAGACATTTAAAAATTAGTTCCTCGGTTGAGATACTCAACTATCATTAATATCCGATTACACGATAATTTTTTTAGATTCTTACAAGATGGTAAAACTTACTTTTTATTTATTACCTGTGCTGTGATTGTGCCTCGTTATGAATTGGCTAAATTTTTAGGTTATAGACAACTTATGTCGAAATGTTCCGAAAGAATATAATCGTCCCTCGAATAACGTAAATAATTCTTCAGATGTCAAAACTAATCATTCTCACGCCCTCAACTGCAATTATTACATTTGCGGATGAGTAAAATGAGTTTTAGATGATATATTTTTTATACATACGTAACGGCGAATAACGTTCACGTATTTACATTATTGACCTTTAGTAACGCAGTTTTATTCAAATACTGCATTCATTGTATTTATGTCGACGAAATTGTATTATATCAATTCGTTATCACATTTTAATTAATTTTATTTCCAGCCTATTGCGGAGTTCTTAAGCGGCCTGCCGTCATATAATCCAAGCAATTTTACTAAGTGTAGTGAAGATAGTGGGAACAGAATTTGTATAAAAAAGCCTTCAGTTTACCTTCCCACTAGAGATTACGCTTCAGAACAAAGTAAACTGGAGTTTGTATCATAAACATAGGTATGTATTGAAAGCAATAATTATAAACATAATTATTTTCAGTTATAGTCACAGAGAAAACAACCATACTATTGAGGTACCTTCACCAACACTGGGACAAAAATGTACGTATTTTATTTATCCGTGAATAATTTATTTTAAACCTTATAAAAATTCAGTTTATTACATTTTTCAGCAACCTGACAGAAAACGAGATTATGTATCCGCAAATGGCGATTCTGAGGATGATCCTTCTACGCATAACAAGAGACCACGACTAGATAACACCGTTTAAAATATTCTACACAATTCTAATTTTCAATTATTTTCTAAGCTAAACATTTCCATTATTCACTAAACTTTGTGATTTCTGAATACTGCAGACATATCTACTATTTAAACAAATTATTTCAACGCATCGTTTTTAGACTCATATTTAGAGTATCTTTTGTCATGGACGTAATTTGAAGCTTCAACATTGAACGATGACACTTTCTTAAATTTTTGAAACTGGATGGAGAACAAACGTTACGTTAAATTTGCGTGTAATTTTTTGTATTATATCGTATGCTTGGAATTCAGTTGACTAGCACATCAAATAATACATATGCTGCACAATCTCTAAAAGTGACTATGTGAATCATTATTGACAAATATGTATTATAATTTTAGGAAGGAGTAGTTTAAGATGTGATCATGCGTCCAAGCATTTACTTCGAAATGACTTTATAAACTCATTTTATGATGTACGCAGCTCAGNCGTTTTTTAAACTTTCGGGCTGTTTAGACAATTGTTATGCGTTGTAGTATTATTAAAGTAGATAAAAATTTAGTCGTGTAAGGATATTGATGAAATTTATGTACATATATATTCACGTTCATGAAGATACATTGTAATTGTCCATTTGAAAGAGACGAGTATTGATGCTAATTAAACAAATTGTTTCATATTTTTGATAATAGTATTTTTATTTCATAAATTAAAGTACGCGGAACTTGTATTAAGGTCCAAAAAATTATATATGAACTTCTCTGATCAACTTTCGTGTTCTGAGAAAGTAATTTTACATTTCTGTACAATTATCTCTCTCTATCTCTTTGTATAAAGTAAATAAAATATGATAATTGAGGTACAAATAAATGTAATTTCTTCTTGTTTATGTAAATAAAATGTTATTTGTAAAATTGTTAAATTATAGTACTAAATATATCTACCGCTCCCCCCACTTCTGCTATCTGACTTTGCAGTTTATACAGTTATCAATTCGGAACCTCTTCAAGGATAAACATCCGGCAACCGGCGGTATAGTATCTTGTTTGTTGAGTAACTGTACACTGAGAATATATATCTATATCTATACGTGCACACGTAGTATGTATCGTGAAAAGTGATTACTGCAACTTTGTTAAGAGTGTGAGATGTTTAACTATCATCATCCAATCACCAAACTATTCCCTCTTAGACTTTACTCCCTCGTTTCATTTTATAATTTTTAATCTTGTTCTCAGTGCCTTTACTGTTCATACCGAACATAAAATTGCGTTTAACTTGGGATCGATCGTTGAAGAGTGACTAGTGATCGATACGTTACGATGTCGAAAATCAAAGGTACTTAATAATTTTTTACTTTAGAATTAAGTTGATTTATAATTAATAGACGATTACAATATTCTTAATATCACAGATTGTGGAAATTGCCACGGTCCCGGTTATAGATCGCCGAAAGCAGCGATGACCGAGGGACCACGAGAGAAAGTGATGTACGTCGTTTGCATTCACACGGATCCGAACAAATCGGACGTACTAAGTACCGTTGATCTAGATCCCGAAAGCCCCGATTACTGCAAGGTCGATACAAACACGTACATCAAACTATCATGCAAATAAAATGAATCAATCGATTAAATAAATACTGTTAATGTTCGTACTATGGAATGTTCAAGTATTGGAATGAATGTTTGTACTATTTATAGATTATTCACAAATTACGAATGCCTTACGTTGGCGACGAGCTGCATCATTCCGGTTGGAACATTTGTAGCAGTTGCCACGACAAACCGCGGAAACGTGATACTTTGGTGCTTCCCTGCTTAATGTCCGATCGCGTTTATTTCGTAGACACGAGCAACGAGCGAGCACCATCAATCAAAAAGGTTCACTGTCTTATAAATCGTAGAAATCAGGAATTTTACAAATATCGTATGCATTTAGTTTTTGAGTAATATCGTCCATAATTATTATGATATTTTTTACACGTATATTCTACTCTTATTTGGAACAATTATTAACGTTGATACAAACACATTATCAATTAATTATGATGAATATCGTAATTGGCTAGGTGTTGGAACCGGCGGAAGTACATCGACATGGATTATCAACTGTGCATACCAGTCATTGCAGTCCGACTGGGGAAATTATGATCTCAGCGATGGGCAAACCAAATGGGGATGCATTGGGTGAATTCCTTTGTATCGATTCCGAAACGCTTGAGGTGAAAGGCACTTGGACTAAGGGAGAGAAAAAGGCGTCATTCGGTTACGACTTTTGGTATCAACCGTATCACGACGTGCTCGTCGCTAGTGAATGGGGTGTCCCTCGAGTTTTTAAAAAAGGCTTCACTCCGAACGTCGCTTCCGATCCCAGTTCGCATCACTTATTTAATAAAACCGAGTTTGATTATTACGAATTCCCACTGTTATTACACTTTTTGATAACTTCTTTTTTGCAGAGATATATGGTAGAAGTCTGAACTTTTATTCGTGGAACGATAAAACGCTTAATCAAGTTTTAAATTTGGGCAACGACGGAATCGCGCCGCTCGAAATACGATTTCTTCACGATCCGAAATCTTCTGTGGGATTTGTCGGATGTGCGGTTACATCGAATGTCTACAAATTTGATAAAGAGTCGGATGGTAAATGGGCTGCAAAGAAAGTAATTCAAGTATCTGCGAAGAAAGTAGAAAATTGGAAAGTTGGAGATTGGGATCTCCCACAGATGGGAGGTACGTTGCATAATCTACTATGAGATTAGCCAACGATTCCATATGTTTTGTAATTATTGAAAGAAGCTTCAATCATCGACTGCGTAAACAGACTGATTATGGGTACTCCGTTTTGTAGGAATGATAACGGATATTTTGATCAGTCTCGACGATAAGTATCTTTACTTATCGAATTGGCTTCAAGGAGACGTTAGACAGTACGATATTTCCGATACGGACAATCCGAAATTGACAGGTCAAGTTTTTCTCGGTGGTGTGATCCTAAATGATTCGACTGTTCGAGTTACTGAAGATGCTGAACTTGATACTCAACCAAGCCCGGTTTATGTGAAAGGTCGTCGACTTTATGGATCACCACAGATGTTACAATTAAGTCTCGATGGGACACGTCTATATGTAACCACTTCCATTTTCAAACCTTGGGACACGCAGTTCTATCCAGATCATGTCAAGTACGTAATTTGAATTTCGATATTTTCTATCTCCACTCATGATTATTGATTAAACTTTTCAGAAATGGGTCGACTATGGTTAAATTGGACGTCGATGTTAAGAATGGAGGAATGAAGCTCGATAATCAATTTTTGGTGGACTTCGGCGCGGACAAAGATGACATTTTACTTGCGCATGAAATGCGGTAAGGATTTTACAATACATGCTTCGAACTTCTTTACATAAATAATAATTATAATTTCATGTTATAGTTATCCAGGAGGTGATTGCACGTCGGATATCTGGCTAGCAGAAAATTAATTTCGCTTCTATAAAAAACAATCTTCTCTGAATTTCCAAATTTTTGAATTTATACGAATAGAGCGTACGTGTTATTTTATGCTGTAATATATTTTTGTAACAAACCCTATATATAGGATGTAATTTCGTTTTCCACATTATTCATTTTCCTACATCTGTCCTACTTTTTAAATACTCGTTCTATGCGCCCAGTGTGGCGTTTCCGTCTTTCGCGTTCTGTCAAAGGATCAAAGAAAAAGTGAGAGTATTCACGAACGGGAATTCTACCTATGTAGTACATGAAAAACCTGAGGAACCTATTTAATTTGAGTAACACTAGTCTAGATTATATCAGAGATTATATATACAGAGTATAGACAGTACCAGACACCAGACACAGACGAAGTGCTGAACTATATGGCGCACGAAGGGCAACCAGGGCAACTGGCGGAGCGGAGGCTGGTGGAGCGGAGGCTGGCGGAGGCAGAGATGGAACACGCATAACCGTAACCTGTAACTTACTATAACTATAGTTATAGTAAGTTACAGGTTACAGCTGTATACAGCCTTCTGCGGGGTGCTCAAGGGGATTTTGGGTTCAAGGCCGCTTTACGACTGGACTGGAGCGGTACAGAGCGCGGGCGCGGGAAGATTGCGCCAGTGCTGTAAAATTTGAGGAATTTCAACTGCATGTCATCGTCCGTTGAGGAATAATCAGGAATAATGAAACTCAGGTTTCACTTGCAAGCATCACCAAAGAGATACAATCTCCTCAGTGGGAAGCTGTGAATCTAATAATTTTTGCGAACTTAGTGAATAAAATCGACGCTCTACCTTATCGCACCGATACAGAGCATCGAGGAATGATTCTAGAGTTGACTTCTTGGTGCAGCACTTACACCGGACTCACGAAATCCCTGACGTGAGCACTATCACTCTCATTATTTCCCCTTTGCATCAAACTTCAATTGGATGACATTTCAAAGTGTTTAAAAGTTGTAAAGGAACATGACACTTTTCAACAAAGCCGATTGGCACTCTCCAGCACCGTTCTGGCAAAATGGACCATCGCCCGGTGCATTTTATCATTTCCCCGGTGGCCAGTCGCAATCTGAGGTTGGCGGATTCCAGAGATCACAGTAAGATCTTTTGCTAACCCTTTTTCTAAAACTTGCATGTCATGTCCGTTCACGACGATTTATTTAAACTACTTACATTTTAAACATTTTTAATCAATAGTGACGGAACTCAAAACTTTTAATGCATTTAATCGTGGCTTAATGAATTTGTTTATCTACTTGAAACTGACTTTATACATATTTAACCTCTAATTTAAACGTATCTACATACTTCTCGTTCCGCAGAAGCCTATACTTTTAATTAATTACTTCTCTTAGTAAAATGTAAAATTGACAGGAGCCCATATAGATCTGTTACCATATACACAGCTATCTGTGTTTGCATTTAGTTTCAATTTTGGAGATAGTTATGAATGTGGAAACAGATCTGTATTGGCACATGGTGTCAGTCTGATGCCGACCTGCATATATATTTTTTATAGAACAGATCCTGCTTCATATCTACTGACCATTCTAGTTAACGAATCTGATGAACAATGGACAAAACCTAATATTATAGGCATGACTGACAGGGAACTTTTCTTTAACTCCATTTTGGTTTCTTGTCTTACAGAGCACCAATGACAACAGGAACATCTGTTATTGGAGTTCAATTTAAGGATGGTGTCCTCGTAGCTGCTGATATACTTGGATCTTATGGATCACTAGCTAGATTCAGGAATCTTGAACGTGTGATAAAAGTTAATGATAACATTATCCTTGGCGCAGGAGGAGATTATGCTGATTATCAGTACTTGAAAAGCAGCATAGAAAGAAAAATGTGCGTTTTACTTATGGTTTAGTAATAATCTTGTGTAATTTGTAATTAGACTGTGAATGTTTATGCATTTACGAGAATTTTCAATAATTTAAAGTGGGATAGTATGAAGTAATATATAGAT